TTCCTTTCCAAACAATATATCTATCGTGTAGTGGTAAGAGCTCTTTCTCAGTGAATGAGCATCACTCTCCTCTTCGTGACTAAGCCCAGTTTCCGGAGTAAAAGATCAATTTATTTTGTGAGCAAGTAAGATAAATGTGAGCAAGTCAGAAGATTATTTCAAGATTAGGTAGCACAACAAACGTTCTCTTCCTTGCATTTTCAACTATCCAATACCTTCATGATAAAGTTTAAAGCTTTCAACAACAGCAACACCTGTTCCAGCAGCCAGTCAAAGCCCCATAACTCCATCAAAATAAAACCTTTTCGGTTGGATTTGCTGGTTTTGATGAGAAATGATGGCAAATTGATGATGGCAGGGGTTGCCAACTTTTGATGTATTTTTTGTAACTTCGCTCTGTAGCACACCATCTACTCTAAATAAGCTTTTTTCCACAGCACGAGAAAGAGCACATTTGATAGTATCAAACATAAACTGAGTTCTCTCTTTTGCTACACTTTAAGGAAAATAGTACTAGAAGAAAAAGTTCAAGTCGAAAAAAGTTTTGAGTTTTGAAAGTTTACATCTTTTTCGACTTTCATCTAATTGACTTAGTTTTCTTGATTGAAGGTCTGAAATTATAGTTTATGCTGTTTGTCGAAATGTTGCTGGATTTTAGAATAACCGTCTATTTGTTACTGATGTAGTTGAGAAATATGCTGTGTCATACGTAATAGCAATGGTAATCGCTTCAGCAAGGATTGCTGGAGCTTTGTAACTCATTTCAGCTTTGGTTCGTCCTCTTAAACCATCGATAAAGTATGTGACTTTATCAGGTTCAACCATAGCATCAATTCGACCGAGAATATTACGAAATTCATATATATATTGTTGTGCAGCTGTTGTTTGTTTCAGCATCTTGAGCTGTTGTCGAAGTAGTTGTTGATGATGTGGAGGCTCGAATGCTAGTCGAATACGCTGTTTGAATTCCAAAAAATTCAATATGGGTTGTTTGATACAATCATCTATTTCTTTTCGCTCACTATGATACCATTGCAGAGCAGCATCTCGTAAGAATGTGGACGCATAACAGAGCTGATCGTCACCGACTAGTTTTTTTACACGGTAAAGTTCTTCAACCTGAAATAGCCAACTAACTACGTTATCGCCTCCTTTTCCATCATACAATGGTGGTGGGTTATTAAATGAATCATTTCCTGAAGACCGTGTTGTTCTGTTTGTTTCATTTTAAGTGATTTGTTCATTTCTGTTTTGTTTTTGTTTCTCTTGTATATTAGCTACCACGCGTACTAGACCTTGGAGTAATTCAGCAAAATCATCATTATTATGAAATGGTTCCTCATCGCCTCCCGTTTTAAACTACTCGCTGCTACAAAATGTTAAGACTAAACTAATGATTTAATCAAAGAAAAGCAAAATTACAAGATTCTATTCTGTTTCAAGAAAATCAAAAATTGTCCTGTTTATGTCTATACTTTCGCTGTTAAGACTACAATCTCAACACAAGTATGCTCTGAAATTAGAACAAGTCTGCTTTTCTAAGACTTCTGTAAAGCTCTTCAAGAAACTTTCAACGATCAACTGTAGAGTAGAAAAAGGCATAGATTAAATAATAGAAGTTTATGCACATGAACTCAGTACGGATATATAATTTGTATAGAAATGAGATAGACAGTGTACGATCTTATCTGTTCAAATACTAAAACATTTATTTTAAGTCTTATAACAGATAAATCTTTCTGAGTTTTGCACTAATAGGTACCTATCTCTTTCATCACATGCATTGTTATTTCTGACTCATTTCGTTCGTTAATAAATTAGTTATAGTAAATCTGTAAAATTTTGTAAAAATTTGGCCAATAGCGTCAAAACTGACTGAATTATAGCGAAAACAAAGTAGTGTAGTTCTTTATGGCCCACCCGTTAGCATAAAAGCTTATAAAACAATAAGTGATTCTATTGCCGACCGTTGCCAATTCAGGCAAAAGTCATGACCAAAAAAAGATAAAACCTGAAGTAAAAATTAAAATACGAATCTTGGTCAAAATTCCAAGAAAAATTCCAAGAATCTTGGCTGAAATGATAAGAAATAAGAATCTTGTAATCTTATTCTCATGTTAAAAAAATCTTTTTCCTTTTTCATTCTGCTTTAACAAATGTGGTTGACTATTGTCGTATGAGATAAAGAAAAGCACTAAATGGTAGGAAAAGTACTAAATACAACAGGTAAAATATTGCACCTGTAGAAATATTAAACAGAGAGAACAATATATATTCATAAATCAACACGTTTTTCTTCACTATAATTTCAGATTCTTCGATTACCATCACTATTAAAATGCATCGTTTGTTAAAAACGTTGTCTGGTATGCTATTTATTATTGTAGCACTGATTGCTATTGCTCTTGGATATTTGAAGACAAATTCAAATATACGAAACAGGGGTAAAATGACTTAATTATATCTTTTTAATTTAAATCTATAATAAAATTAAGTTAATTTTTTAGTATTTGCCAGTTTGTGTAATTCATTAGCTAATCCTAATGATACAAAAATGATGAATTTACGTTGTGATGAAATATTAGATAAATCTCGTATTAATGGTAATGTCCTAGAAATTGGTGCTGGTACAGGTATCAATCTTCATTGTTTACATAATAATACGAACATCAAAAGTTGGATTGCCATTGAACCCAATCCATATATGAAGCATTATATCGATGGTTACATCTCAAAATTAAATATCAAATTTCAAACGAAAGTGTTACATATATCAGCTACAAAAATGGTAGATATTCAATCAGATAGTATTGATACTGTTATAATGACACATGTTCTATGTAGCATACCTGATCCACTACCAAGAGAAGTTTTATTGGAAGCTCATCGTGTATTGAAACCTGGTGGCAAATTCTATATAATGGAACATACTATTGCTGATCGACATGTGAAACCAAATATGAATACTTTTCAGTTGCTAATTGGTCCATTGTGGAAAATAATTGGTGATGGTTGTGAATTTAAACCGATAGCAAACTATTTAGATGATATGAAGCACGTGTACAAATCTGTAACATATCAAAAATTTCAAGCACCAATTAAATTAGTAATTGCCAGAGATCATATTAAGGGTGTTCTAATTAAATGATATAACTTTACTATTCTCCATCTTTAGTGTTGATATCATCAGCCTTCTCAGAATTATGTAGATTATGTAATTAATGTAAATTATGTAATTATGTGTTTGTGGGTGTTTACCCAAGATATTCACAGAGTAAAATTGCAATAATACCGCTTTTCGTCAACTATATGCTTGCTTCACTTTGTGTTAGTCAGAACGTCGAGTTTCTTGTTCACAACATCATACTGTGAAGTTATGACAGATTGTACTATATCTTATATTGAACAGAATAGTTTGTCCTGAAATTAGAACAAGTCTGCTTTTCTAAGACTTCTGTAAAGCTCTTCAAGAAACTTTCAACGATCAACTGTAGAGTAGAAAAAGGCATAGATTAAATAATAGAAGTTTATGCACATGAACTCAGTACGGATATATAATTTGTATAGAAATGAGATAGACAGTGTACGATCTTATCTGTTCAAATACTAAAACATTTATTTTAAGTCTTATAACAGATAAATCTTTCTGAGTTTTGCACTAATAGGTACCTATCTCTTTCATCACATGCATTGTTATTTCTGACTCATTTCGTTCGTTAATAAATTAGTTATAGTAAATCTGTTTAACTCAGTCATTTGTTCGTATATTGCCATTGTTTACCTACTCTTATATTCGTCGATATTAAACCAATCAAATTTATCATCTGACCTTTATACTGTCGTCATCATCAAAAATAATAATATACACATTTCTTAACTCGAAACAAGAAACACAAGATGATATGAACAATTTGGCCAATGATGAATATACGGTATTAACACACAAATGCTCACAAAACTTGCTCATGTTCTTGATTCTCTCGGCGAATCCATTGATATCAGTACTAATAGCTTTGAAGATGTCGCATCATGGCATGAAACCTACGTTAATTCAATAGTCAAAAGGATACTTCAATAATACAATTTATTGGTAAAAACATCATGTTCTCGTCATCAATAATATTGCTTGAGTAAAAGAGTCCTGTGGAAGAATGTAAAAAAGAATAGTCTGCCTTGCAGCTACCATTACTGATGTACGGCACTGTCCAAAAAGTAGTTTCACTAGTGCCACATCTTCCCTACGATTGACAAACTTCTGAGATGGTCATCCACTTCTATTCTAATCATCAACTATAGCTCTGATCAAGAGGCTAGCGCGATGCAGAGTTCTTTTGCTCAATTGTCGGAGCGTCCAGGCAAACGTTTTTTGGCAAAAAATATATTGATGTTTGTCTAACTGTTTAGCAGGATGAATTTTGACAATTTCAACGCGTTTATATTCGTTGAAAATCAATTAACATGAAAAAAAATTAAATTTAACATCAATTTAAATTAAATTTTTCGCTCAGGATGAAGTATTTTCGCACACAAGGATCTCGTTTATTATACCTAATGTGTTGAGAGAAATGAAATAGTCTGTTTGTTAGGTCGATATTCGCGTTCCTCAGCCTTCTATTTTAAGGTGAATTATGATACTCAGTTATATTTTATTAAAAAAATCGCCAAATGTAAGTGACTTTTTGAGACAGGATGTTTCTCTTCTCTGTCATTCGTCTAGCTGTTGGTGTCCAAATTCGGTTACAATTCGTATCGTCATTTGTTGAGTGAACGGCTAAGAGTCAAATTCCCAATCATGATTCTCATACGTCGCATAATTGCCATACTGTTTAAACTAGTTGAAAAAATATAAGAAGTGTTCTATCATTGTCACAAAAGTCGAGGATGAAAGTAATCAGATGAGGGAGAAATAACGATTGGTTAGGGTAAGCTAGTGAACAAAATGTCGGGCGTTAGATAAATTAGTCTGAGATCTTACCGGATACAACAAAATCCGACATTTTGTTGCTATGAGCATCTATAGAATTCGAAGTAAAAACCGATTGGATATGATCCTACACATTCCTATGGGCATCTGAGACACAACATTCCCATAAGCAATTGTCGGATTTTTGCGTGAATTTCTGAAAAATCATGAATTTCTATAGAAGCTTATAGGATTTCATCTAGGATACCATGGGATTGTGTAGGATTCAATCGTGGTATTCTTCGACCTGGGATCTTCCCTGTTTGTCCTCCATATAACTTCGTCTCTCGCTCTCTCTTGTTCTATTTGTTCCTGTTTTCCTCTGTTGTCTCTCGGGTTTGGTTTTTCGTCATACAGACCCTTAACTAGTTGGCAAATCGGAGAAAGACCTGATTCGGTAACAGTATTATAACTGTATGTGGTAAAACTATCTGTCGATTGTAAATTCGAGCTCCCATTCCTTGATTCCTCCTTGGTCAAGCTTTTTCGAAAACGGTGGTCAGACTCAGATTCATCACCATTGCACAGGTCGAAACAGCCGCATGGAATCCTAGACGACACATTAAAATTAAAATAGGATAAGTTCTCACAAAAGAGGTCCTATGGGATTCCCACAGTCGGAATCTGATACCATCCCACACTTTTTCACAGAATGTTGGATCATGAGGGGTGAGGGTGAGGGTTTCTCAAAAAGTCTCACGCTTCAGAACTCTCTAAGGGGAAAAGACTATAAGGGTGTACGGGGTAAGAGTATGAGGAGATAACGCTAGAAGGCGGTAAGGCTACAAGGGGGTAAGGCTCCTATATCTTTCGAAAGTTGTACATACATACAGATGAAAATCTTTGTTGTAGACTGAAGGTATTTTCTGTAGGAATATGCCCGGGAATTATCTTGTTCCCCGGGAGGAAGTATTAACTAAAATAGTTTCGAAATGTTGGAAACTAAGAAAAACGATTTAGGAAGTTCACGAGTAATCAGTAGTAATTCAGTAGTTTCTCAGGCAAGTTAGCTCAATAGTAGTATCGTAGATTTCTCATTCAACGTACCCTAGTTCGACTCTTACTTTGTGATGATATATATAAAATGTGATAGCCCATGGGTACTGTAAATGTTGATTTTCAGAGATACCCCAAAGGTTTTCAGGGAAACCCCGGAAAAACCTCCCCCTATCCGAAATTTGTTTTCTTTACATCTCAGTTCTACTAACCCCTTGTTAGGCTCTCGAACACAAAAAAAGCGTACTCATATATCTCTTTCCATTGCGGAGCACGATCATCAACACTGACGGGGTCTTTTCTTTTGAAATGGATAGTAGTAATAACGTTAATACTAAAACAGCAGAATAATCCTAACTATTGATTTATATGTAACGGAGTGTACCAAAGAAATTTGTACATGTGTGTTGGTTAGCAGCATGAGCAATGCTAAGCCACGACAGATACTATATTACGTCGACGTGGAGATGTAGATTCAAAAAAACAAACAGTTTAAAACATACTATATTCTACTTTTGAGAAAATA